TGGTGATGGGTGGGTATATCAAAAGAACCAAAGCATGGGCAGCACATCGAGGTTTGAAGACTATTCGCGTTTCTTTGGGTCCGGCATTACTGCATGGCGTCTGCATAGGGGCGGCTGGTACGTTTGCCCAAGGTATTGGAACCAACGGACATGCCCCGTTTTGACCCCACAACGGCCCGGTGCAAGGTCCTGAATACATTCACCATATTCGAAATAATCATCTTCTGAATGCCTTGAGTCGGTACTACTGCTCTCACGGGCTTTAATGTCAACGTAGGTGAAAGAGGTAGATTCCGTTGCTCCTAAAGTCAGTTGTTGCGAGGTTCCGCTGCTATCATGATTTCCCTTGATGTTGCTTAGGTTGTGATCCCCTGTCAGTGGAGCAGAGGGAGGCCAAATCCAGCCGCCTGACTCGTTGTGTCCCGGGGGGTGGGAGCTATGTGATCTGCTGGTGACAGGGCATATGACGGGGGGCCTTGACTAGAGCCTTTTGCCTTAACGAAGAGGGGAGGTCACTGGAGAACTCCTCATCAGGAGCTGCGCAACATTGGTGATCGATGGAACGTCAAACAGATAAACCTGGCGTTGGTGCACCTTCGAGATAGACTTCTTGTTGCCCCAGAACAGAGGTACACCTCAAATCGAAAGAACTTGGGGAAGACAGAGCGGGTATTTCTGCGATAGGCCCCGAGAAATGTGCTTTTTCAACAGGTGTTCTATCATGCGAAGACTGCGCAGTGCTTGGATGAGAGTAATGCCTCGACAACGAGGTTCCTTTGTATGTTGGATAGTACGACAAGAACCTGATGGTACAGCCTAAGTACAACATGGATTTCCTGGGGAATTGGTCTCGTTTTCGATGGCCGAAGCCCAACACGTAACTTCAAGCAAAGCTCTTCTGCCAACAGGGCGACAAGCTTGGTGAGAGAAATAAGTAAATCCATCAATCCAATTTTGGCAAGGGCGAAATCTGTGGCCCTCGCGTGGAGTCTGGTTACTGATGTACTAGCAACGAACGCAACTACCTGAGAGATGGCCTTTGCTAGAAAAGTACATCAGAATGCTCACCACGAGGGCCTAGATGAGGGAGTGCAGGATGTGGAATGCTCGAAAAGGAGGCATTTATTAACCGACCTCTCTTCCTTCGAGAGGCGGAAATGGTTAACTGGGACATCAGGAGGAGTTGTATCTAGTATTACCAAATTAGAGGAAGGAAGAGGACCGGATCGAATTTGTATAAAGACTTTGGCTGTTATTGATTTGTAGTGATTCACTCAGGCCTTTAATTCTGTAACGAACGAATTTGCTCCAACGAAAGTATCTTCTCTTGCCTTGCGGAGGGCCTCCTGTCGATTGTTGCAAGCATTGAACTTTGGACTCATATAGCCAGACCTGCTCATAGTTGCGGAGACATGGCAGCCCATTCTCCTCACACACCTTTTGAAGATAACATCGTTTTCCTCTCTGGGTACACCAGATGCAGCTGCCCCCGGTCTCTTTTAACATGTGTTTGTGTTGCCGATTTCCCTCTGTTTGTTCCCGAGGCCTCACGTAGATGATAGCACAAGTTGGTGCTCTGGTTGAGGGATCGACGGATCCGAAGTCATACTTGATACCGCTCGATGGAAAATTGAGGGCTGGGCGTGGGTTGCCCTGTGGAGGTGGTCAGGAAAACACCTAGCAGCTAACTTCTATTGATATATTTAAACTCACCATGCGATACCGATATCATTCTAGGACCAATTGGGTTTGTGCCCTGGTGTATCGTAATTTGACGCCTGGGAGGGATATTGGCGACGGGATGGAGATGGCCCAATGGGGTTTTCTGACCATCCCGTGGCTAGAGGGTCATTTATTCTTTCCATGTGGTCTGGTATGAACCTCGCCTGTTCCACCCAAAATGAGGTTGGGGTGGAGAACTCCCAATCTTGTTTCATTGTATGGCGAATTAGTTTGCGTGGATGGAAGACTGGCTGCTGAGTTTGAATATGAAAAGAATGTAAAATGTACGGAATAGGATCAACCCCAAAACCTCACTTACAATCTGCCAGGGAGAGAATACAATTTGTGTCACACGGGTTGGGGAAGAAGAACTGGGAGTGGGATGGGGATAAAATTGGCGTTGAGAAGGTGGGGATATATTGTCCATATTAATCCCTATCGCATGACCAAAAACTTAAAGAGGCAAATGGAGAACCATTGCCCACAACCAGGCTCTGGGGTACCAGTGCCTCTTCACTACATGGAGGAGTAGTAAAATCAATAAACAAACAGCGACGGACAAGAACACCGTAAGTAACGAGAGGAGAAGACGATGTAGCAAAAGAATTGAAGCTATCGAAAGCTTCGGGCGGCTTTTTGAGAGATTCCATTTCATTTCGAAGGACGACATCAGAACTTCATTCTTGGGGCAGGCCGTCATGTTGAGGCCCGATGAAGTGCATTTCATGTCAATCTAACCGCCATTGGTCGATGAGGTGAAGGCGGATCCCGGTTGAGGGCATAATGCAGGAAGCTAACTATATGCTGTTTTATCGCACGATGGAGGCTTAGAGCGCTGGCGCCAACCAGTGAAACCAGAAACAAGGCAAGGCGGAGCCGCACACATCGCTGGGACTCACAGTAGAAAAACCACGACGTTGGAATAATTGAATGGCTGACTGCGGGAGAAGATCGGAATGGTTTGTAAATCAGCCAGTATCTACCGTAAAGATATATCGACTCTATCAATCATTCGCTATCAAAATGCAGGTTGTAGTCATGCTTGTTGGACTCAATCACCCACACGTTCAAAGTCACTATGAAGGTCTGAATCTACCTGCAACCCTAGATCGCGATCCTCTAGGAATTGTTTGCCCTGCAATTTTTCAGGGAGATACACCTGTGCCACTTTGCCATCCACGTAGTTTGGGTTGTATTTATATTCCTTTCCATAGCCCATTTCTTTCATCAACCTTGTTGGAGCATTTCTCAAATGTATGGGAATGGGTAGGCCTGCCATCCCGGGCTCCTCCAAGACAGCCATTGCGTTACTTAGCCCCCGGTAGGCCCTTGTGCTTTTCCTTGATAGAGCCATGGCAACTGTAGCGTGTGCAAGGTTGATACGTGCCTCAGGCATGCCGATTTTCTCCACCGCAGTGTATGCAGCGGTCGCAAGAGAGAGCATCGTATTATCTGCTAGTCCGATGTCCTCAGAAGCAACCACTATTAGACGTCGAGCTATGTAAAGCGGATCCTCGCCGGATTGAATCATCCGTGCTAGATAATAGAGTGCTGCATCAGGATCGCTCCCTCGGATGGACTTATGAAATGCAGATATGGTGTCATAGTGTTGGTCACCGGCGCGATCATAGACGAGGGTTCTAGTTAATGATTTCTTAAGTTCATCTTTAGTCATTCCCTCACGACGTGACAGATCCATTGCGAGTTCCAACAGATTAAGAGACGTTCGAGCATCGCCATCAGCAAATGCGGCAAGATACTTGATCAACTCGTCGTCCACCAGAGAAGAGGGTGAGTAATTTGGTCCCTCGACTTCCAGGGCCCGATTAAGTATCATAATGATATCTTGGTCCGTGAGCTTCGCGAGGGTGAACGTGCGGCATCGAGATAACAGAGCGTTTTGGACCTTAAATGATGGATTCTCAGTGGTGGTACCAATTAATGTGATTTGGCCACTCTCGACGGGACTGAGGAAAACGTCCTGCTGTGATTTGGAAAATCTGTGGATTTCGTCACAAAAGAGGATAGTTTTCTTCCCGGACAAGCTGAGCTCATTCCTTGCTTCAGCGAATAGTTTCTTGCATTCCGCAACTCCGGAGTTGGTGCTGTTGATTTCCACGAATCTGCTGCCAACCATTTTTGCAATGACTCGTGCGATTGTCGTTTTCCCTGTGCCGGCACCACCCCAGAGCACCATACTGGGGACCCGATCCTGTTCTATAAGCCCCCGAAGCACTCCTGACGGTCCAACAAGCTCCTGGCCACAGACATCATCCAAGGTTTGCGGACGCATTCGTTCAGCTAGAGGAGCAGCATTTCTGAGAGCATTAGACACGCGGCTCCGTTTCGCTGAACGGCCACCGCCTTCTCCCAGCAAAGACGGTATAGCATCTCCAGGTCCACTGAAATCTCGCTGGAGTCCATCCTGATCTATGAATGATCGCTTCCCTTTGAGAGTTGGAAGTTGAGTTGGACCTGAAGTTGGAACAGGAGTGGGAGACGATGTCTGGCTATTTATATTGGAGATTGGCTGGGGAACAGCCTTCCTTGAAGAGTTTTGGAAAAAAGACGAGACAGGGTGGTTCCCTTGGGAAGAGCGATCAGTTGTCTGGCCTGAGCCGGCGTCAGTAATGAAGCTCTGGCAGTCTGAATCTATATGGTCGTTGATCTTGTTCTCCCGGACGGACTTGTCACAGATGGGGCATCTGACCATGCTGACAACCGCTAAGGAATATCCCGAGGCGTAATGAAGGATGGCGGAATCCTAATAATACTCGAGTCCTTGACAATGTCCTTGAAACGTTGGTCAGTGTCTCCGAGAATTTACCAGCTTCATCGGGGAGCTCGCCGCAACAACAAGCTCCAGCAGCTCCAGCCAATCAGGGGCCATTATGACTAATCCAGAGGAACATTTGTAAGCCCTCACTCCTCACTCCGAACCTCCCCGAAGTCTCAGCGCCAATAATTAACGATTAGTTACATAATAAGCCCCGGGGGTTCGGCTTTTGGATGCAGCTACAGGCGAAATGCAAATGCTCAGTCAGCGCTGACACGCAGACAGCAGTTTGCTTCATGACTGTGTTACTCTACTTCTAATCCTTCGTAATCGTCTTGGAGTGTTTTCGTGTCCATATGTTCGAGGAGTGGACAACTGGTGGGAAATGTTCTTGTTGTCGACGCGCTCCTTCATACACGGGCATCCAACAATCGGCCGCTGTCGAACAGTCATCGATATTCGGAGAATAGCAGCGAGAGGGATATCTTCAACTACGCCACGAATGGACCCTTTTCGCCCCGCAAAGCGGGTTGCAGGGCAGAAACAAGATGTCTGGTATGGCACATTCATACATACAATCAATTTGCCCAATCATCTATCTAGGATATCAGTTCTGCTTACTCGCGATTCCAGGTCGATTGTTAATGAAGCTGCTGCCGCTTCGCCTGTCCAACCTATTGTAAACATGGGCCAAGGGTTTTTGTGAGTGCGCATGGCATTTTATACTAATTTTCTTTTTGGTAGTTCAAATTGCGAACTAATCAAGTTTTCAAATCGCGGATACAGTGGCTACAACCCCCCTAAATTCGTTATTGATGCGGCAAAAGATGCCCTAGACAAGGTCGAATGCAATCAATATGCTCCTACAAAGGTTCTTGGCCCCACTGACCTTAGAATCTTTTGAGGTTTGGATGTCCCGGCTAATATTCAACAGGGCAACCCGCGGCTCAAGAAAGCCATTGCCAATGCGTATTCTCCTTTCTTTGGCCGGGAACTAAACCCTGACACTGAGGTGACCATCACAACTGGTGCCAATGAAGGTTAGGCCCCACGAATTCGACCACCTGTGAAATAGCGCATGAAGCTAATACGAAATTGCTACAGGAATGCTAAGTGCATTTATGGCGTTTATTGAACCAGGAGATGAAGTCATCATTTTTGAACCATTCTTTGATCAGTACGTTTCTCCCTTATTTGCTACTACGCTTTCAGAAACTAAACTCCTGATAGATACATAAGCAATATTGAGATGCCAGGAGGGACTATAAGATATGTGCCTTTACATCCCCCTGAAGATGGTGCAACAAGAACATCTTCTGCTTCGCAATGGAAGATAGATTTCGACGAGCTGGAGAGAACCATTACCCCCAAAACCAGAATGATTGTAAGTTCGATGTTGTCATTTACAATTAATTGCCCAATAGCTTACTCTCCCAACTAGGTTCTTAACTCACCGTAAGCATAATATGTATTTGCGCCCCATGTATAAAACCCATTTTATTTTAACATCATATGCAGGCACAATCCAGTGGGGAAAGTTTTCTCGCGCGAAGAACTCGAAAAGATAGCTGCGCTTTGTGTTAAGAATAATATTATTATTCTCTCTGATGAGGTTTATGATCGCCTCTACTATGTCCCATTTACGCGCATAGCTACGCTGTCTCCCGAGGTTGCAGCTCTCACACTCACTGTCGGGTCGATCGGGAAGAATTTCTATGCAACTGGGTGGAGAGTTGGTTACCTTATTGGCCTCGAGCATATGATAAAATATGTTGCGGCTGCACATACTAGAATCTGCTACAGTACCGTTGCGCCTTTGCAAGCAGCTGCAGCAGTTGGTTTCGAGAAGGCGGATCAAGTTGGATTTTGGGACCAAAGCAGAGCGGAGATGCGAGCAAAAATGGACAAGTTCTGTGAAGTATTCGATGAGCTTGGCATTCCTGTGAGTGCCCCCTTTCTTTCCTAAATCGTGGTATTCATTTATTCGTAATTTGTTCCTTTAGACTTATATTTTGTGCTTTAGTATTCTGACCCAGAAGGCGGCTATTTCGTCCTTGCAAATATGGCTGCTATTAAGCTTCCGGAGAATTACTCGTTCCCTCCCCACGTTGCAAGTCGTCCTCGCGATTTCAAATTGGCCTGGTTTCTTATCCAAGAGGTCGGGGTTGCAGCAATTCCGCCCACAGAGTTCTACACGGACACGAATGCACATATTGCTGAAAACTATCTGCGGTTTGCCGTCTGCAAAAACGATGATGTTTTGGAGACTGCGAAGGAGCGTTTGCGTAAACTGAGGAAGTACATTGTCCGCTAATGAACCCTTTCGGGTAAACCTAAAATTTTTATCGGGTTTTGACAAATACCTAAGGGGCTCGATATGGATTTTGGTGTAGTTAAACTGGAGTGATGATTCCTCTTAAACCCTCTTAATGGACAATTCCGGCATATTTTTAACCAAGCTGCATGACTACTATCTTGAGCTACATAAGTCGATATAACACACATCTTCTGCACCGTAAATAGCACCCCATACACAAATCCATACAAATCCCCTACATACCTAAATGCGCCGCCAGACTTAGGGGCTGAGATTGTAATGGCCGCTAAGCTTCTTTGAGCTTGGCGGCCAATCCGGTGATCGTCTTGCGCAGAGAACTTCAAAAGCGACGACAAGCTGAACTTCCGCCGAAAACAACCACAGCCAGGGACAAAACTACAGACCAGGTGCCGCGAAATCGACTGAATATCTACGGAGCCTTTTTTGACCTTTGTCGCTGTTGAATCCCCGTTTCGATCGATACTCTCTATTTGTATCGGCGATTGGAGGGCGGATTGACACTCCTACTCTCCCGCCCGCAGAGTTTATTCCGCAATTTTCACGTTCTCCCCAAGAAGAACCAGCTTTAAAACGGCATGTGATCATGGGTGACCAGCAGAATATCTCTCAGCTTCTGGCAGCCTTAGGTACTGCAATCCCGTCTTTGTCGCTGTGAGGGCTCGTTTTTTTGATTTTCAAGTTTTTTTTTGCTGACCCTGCGATTTGTTTTCTTATTTTTTATTTTTACCAGCTGCCCACCAGGCGTCTGCTACAGCGGGACAGACATCTTCGCCTCACCAAGGGCAGCTGCCTCTAAACGCATACTCTGGAACATACCCTCTCCCAGCGTCATCAACTAATGTTGGGAACTATTCTTTGCCACCTCCCGATAATACCGGGAGCTTAGATATCAGTGGCGCCAAACCCATCAACACCGGCTCGGTCAGCATAGCGGACGCAATCGCTAAGGCGCGAGTCATTGCTGCTGAGAAAGGAATTGTATATGATCCAAACAGAGGTACAGTATTGCGGACATGTATATGTGTTAACTTCTATATTTTCAAGTTCCTAAGAGAAAAAATTTTCCCCGCAAACTTTGCTAACTAGAGAACCCTTAGGGCCTCCGCGGGAAGTAGATTCACGACGAGACCCCCGATCTTACCATCGTTCACGATCGCCGTCAAGAAGCCCCCCGCGCATTACGCGTGATACCTACCGCGATAATTATAACCCGTATCGCGATGAGCGTCGGCCTGATAGGCGAAATGTAAATGAGCGTGCTTATGCACGGGAACGTTCCTTCTCCCCTCGCCCCGGCGGTCGAGGAAAGGAGTCATACTCTCCAAAGCCTTCAAGACAATATTGGGGAGCAGATGATAGGTCCCCTCCCGGTCGAAGAGCGGGTAGTATTGTTGACGATAATGTGGAAACCATTAGTGTTGAGTCTAGTCTGGTTGGTCTGATTATCGGCCGCCAGGGCGAGAGTCTGCGGAGAATCGAGTCAGATACCGGGACAAGGATACAGTTTCTGGATAATGCGGATCCCAGCAGTTCGGTCAGACTGTGCAAGATTACGGGAAATAGGGCTGCAAGAGAAGATGCTAAAGCCGAAATCACGCGAAGTATCAGTGAGAGTGGTGTGTCTCGATCCAGCAACAAACCACCTGGCCATTTGCCTTCTAAAGCGATGGGTCAGCCTCCCCAGGACGACGAAGATGCTGTACGGATCATGGTTCCTGACCGGACGGTTGGCCTCATTATTGGCCGCGGAGGAGAGACAATCCGAGACCTCCAGGAACGAAGCGGGTGCCATGTGAATATTGTTAATGAGAGCAAAAGCGTCAACGGGCTTCGCCCTGTCAATTTAATAGGATCGCCAGAGGCAACTGAGAGGGCGAAGAACTTCATCCTTGAAATCGTTGAAAGTGATACCCGGCAACTTGCGAACCCACAGCAGCGGGAACAGCGCCCGCCATATGGAGATTCTACTGGGGGACCCGGCGGGGAGAAGGTTAATGACACGATATATATCCCTCCAGATGCTGTTGGGATGATTATCGGAAAAGGTACATACACAATTCCCTTTCCGTTTGGATTATTGTCCACCCCAGGGCTAACCATTTCATACAGGTGGGGATACTATCAAGGAAATGCAAGCTATTACCGGTTGCAGGATCAATATTCAGTCCCCCGTTGGCCGTGATGCTGAACGAGAAGTCACATTAGTCGGGAGCAGAGGTGCCATCGAAGAGGCAAAGAGAATGATAATGGAGAAAATCGAGAGCCCAGTAAGTAAAATCTAGTTCCCAACCTTAAGGGACCATGCGGAATTTCTCTTGCATTTTGCTAGCATCAGTGTTGACTGCCCCAGGAATACAAATGTCGTTCCCAGCCCTCACGCCGTGACGACTCGTATGGTGAACGGTACTCCTCCAGGCCGCAGCAGCGCCAGCCGTACTACCAGGAGCAGAGCAGACAAGCCCCGCAAAATTCTGCTCCGCAACCGGGGTCCTCTCAACCAGGCGGCGAGGAGGATCCCTATGCCCGTTGGGGAGGCTACCAGAATTGTATCGCGTATTGGTACGCTACCATGCAGCAACAAGCACAACAACAGCAGGCTGGCCAAGTTCCACCGGGTCATTCTGAACCACCTCCTGGACCACCTGGAGTCTCATAAATCTCATGATCGAGCCGGGTTCCTCGTTTGTTAAATTGGTAGATGTGTCAGTCGCTTTGCCCCAATTGCGATACCCCTTCTCCTCCCGTCCCCTTATTTCCTCGCTTTTTTCCTTTTTTCTTTTTTTTTCTATGCGCAAACGCTTGGGGCGTGCCTCAAACTTTAATTTAAAATTTGCCTATTTTACGTCTCATTTGTCGCGCCTCCATTGCTTGTTCATGTATGGCAAAACACAACCACGGAAGCATCCCATGGATTTCAACGGATATTTGAATTTGGCGGATATGAGTTAATACAATATGTTTTTTATCGCAAAAAAACCGGAGTTTAACGTCTTTCTCTCCTGTTTTGTGTCCCTCACGCACTTTTCGGCTATGTTATGTAGTAGTATGTTCTTACGTTCTCCGTTTGCTTGATGGACTACGCTTTCATGGAAGTCGAGAGACTGTATTTATGACTAACAAATGCAATATCATACAACGATTTGGAAACTTTAACTACTTGGTGGATGCTATCGTTAATTATTTACAAGTGCCTAGCATCTTCCACCGTTTGCTGGCTTGCTGGTTCTCCTACCGATTCTTTTTATCCATTTTCCCAGGTATATCATATACTGCATAGGTAGGTTTGATGGCCACCTGGGGTGATATTTGTCTCTGTTGCCATGGTTTTGCTCGCCCATGTCAAATACATCTGTCCATTCGGTTTGTCGTTGATTTAATCCGTTTGGTATTTGCAAACCATCTTGTTCGTTTAGTTTATTTAAATTGACAAGTGAAGTAAGTTGGTTGGGCTGAACCAGACGCCGAAATCTAAACTCTATGGAGGCACGTGATAATGGTAGCTTGCAACCGCACGTCGTCTTTCTTCAGTCATTGGTCAACAGTGAATTCTTCCGACGTTTCAAATAACACATCATGCAACGAGATGTCAATCAAGAGGATATGAACGTTGGTCGGGGGCTATTCATCGGAGCAGTGAAAAGGGACCAAGAATCTGCGTGAATAAACCTTGAAAAAAAAAAAAAAACCGGCAAATTATGTCCTGGTCAGAGCCCTCAGAGCCCATAGTGACTTGCTCCCTTAATCTACGCGCCGCCTGCGTTTCAGGATAAAATTGAAAGCCCATTTTACCGCCCGATGAATAAATGGACGTAACCCCCAGTTGCAGATATCTTCGGATCTGGCAGATCTTAAGCTTTTGATTTGTTTGCTTGACTGTCAGATTTTCTTCCCAGCGTCCGATCCGAGATGTGGTCCAACCAGGACGCCTGTTCCGATGACTCTGCTATTTTGGGGGAGTTGCCCGATTTAAAGAACTGACCACTCAGAGCTTGAAAATGCCTCAGAGGATTTGATTCTCCAGACATTTGGGGGATGTTTCAGACAACCTGCTGCCCGCCTGCTTGCTGCCCGGGTGCCTGCGGCGACAAAAAGGATGGATGTTTGGTCTCCAGAGAGCTTTCTTCCCCTTTGCAGATGTTCTGTGAGGGAAGTTCCCTTGAATTTTGAGCATGGAACTATCACTGGACTGTGCTGCTCTCGAGCTTTTATTTGAGTCACCTTCAAATAAATGATTTGTTAGTAGCTTCTCTGTGTTGCTATTCACCACAGTATCTTTTAACAAAAGCCTTTCTTCCCCCGTCATTGTTTCTTTGTATACTGTTTTCCTTTCATGATTTTTTTTTTTTTTTTGTTTCTCTATTTTGCTGGTTCATTCAATGGGGTTCAATAAAAACAATAATCATCTCAAATCACTTCGGGAACGATCTCTTTGATATTCGTCTACTATATTCTCTAATCTCTTCACTTCCAAGGAATCTTCCTTCTATTTCTTTTCCTTTCCTGATACCCTGCGATTCTACCTCTTCGTTTCTTTGCCCATTTTATTCTTCGTCTCTCTCATTTCAAACCTCTTTCATATCTTTTAAACAGAAGCCCTGCCAATACCTCCTCATCGGCCTGTCTCTGAATCAGCATAAGCAGCGCTGGCCGCAGCGGGTTATTTGATTCTCACCTACTATGAAATTCTCACGATTTATTCCACGGTCCCGGACCCCAGGTCTTCCTCCGTACGGTGTGCAGGATTCTAATACATTCGAAAATGGCTACCGACCGTCACCACCCCCGGGTGCAATTACTCCCTATCTCGGACTCCGATCCCGTCTATCCCAAGTCTGGTTTAACCGATGGACCATACTGCTGTTACTGATTCTCGCCCGACTGCTCATAGCCATCGGTTCTCTAGGAGGTAACCTGTCCTCTGCAAGGAGAGAAGCCCTGTCTGCTTGCACAGGTGTGGAATCCATGGGTAGTGCCATGGCCTCAATGCCGCATTATATGTCTAAGGGGGTCAATGAGCTGACCGCTTCAGGGGTTGAGAAGGCAATTAACGGACTTATGTCGATGTTGGAACTTCTTGTTACTGGAGTAGAAGAGATATTTGTTTTCTTCGTCAACGTCCTGACGCAAACATACCTCTGTCTTATCACGTTAGTTGTGGCTGGAAGTCTGAATGCAGCTCTTGACGTCCTAAAAAAGGCAACTGAGTTCATTGACGAAGCAGCTGGCAAGATTGGAAAGGGACTCAACGATGGAATCGAGGGCTTCCAAAAGGCAGTGAACGGCATTTCCAAAGGGATCAACTTTTTGGGTGCAGACATTCCCAAATTAGACCTTGGCGGGCCAATCAAGGAACTGGAAGATTTATCACTTCCGGATTCCTTCACCGAGGACCTCAAAAAGCTCAAGGAAAATATCCCGAACTTTGACGATGTCAACAAATTTACAAATGGCGTTCTCCGCGCACCATTCGAAATGGTAAAGAAACTCATCAAGGATGAAATGAAGGAGTACAAATTCGACCGATCCGTCTTCCCTGTACCGCAAAAGGAGCAGCTTACATTTTGCAGTGACGACAATGGCATCAATACGTTTTTCAACAGCCTAGCTTCTCTTATCGCGAACGCCAAGAAAATATTCATCGGTGTTTTGGTTGTCAGCGCAATATTGGTCTGTATTCCAATGGCATATCGTGAAATACGATCCTGGCGCTCTATGAAGGAGCGGTCTGCCCTAGTGCGAAGAGATGCCCATGACCCTATGGATGTTGTATACATCGTTTCAAGGCCCTTCACTTCAACAGCTGGTCTCAAATTTGCAAATTTGTTCGGCTCAGACCGCAGACAGGTGCTTGCGCGATGGGTCGTGGCATATGTAACATCTCCACCGGCGCTTTTCCTACTCTCACTCGGAATTGCTGGGCTTTTCTCATGTGCCTGCCAGACAATCCTCCTAAAAGCTGTGCAAAAGGAAGTTCCAGGCATAACAAATCAAGTCAGCCAATTTGCCGACAAAGTCGTGTTTTCTCTCAATAATGCCTCCGAGCAATGGGCCATCAGCACCAACCGTGTCATCGACGATACAAACAATGATATCAACGGAAAGGTTTTCGGTTGGGTGAACGATACCACAAAGTCAGTCAATGATACACTCAACGCATTCGTTGATGAGACGAGCAAAGTTCTTGACAAAACTTTCGGCGGCACAATCCTCCACGACCCTATTAAGGAGGTCCTGAACTGTCTCATTGGCTTGAAGATCAAGGGCATCCAAAAGGGCCTAACCTGGGTATCTGATCATGCCCATATTGATTTTCCCAACATGCGCAATAACACGTTCTCCCTAGGCGCAATAGACAGTATAATGGGAGAAAACAACACAAAAGCGGATAGTTTCCTCGCGAACCCAGGTGACAAATCAGCCGACAAGATCAGCGCTACAGTCCTGCGCGTCACGAACTCGATCGAATCTGGTATTCGAACGGAAGCGATTATCTCTGTTGTTATCGTCTCCATTTGGGTTTCCGTTTTGTTGTTGGCTATCATCCGAGCTCTTATGCTCTGGTTCCGCCCTGGAAAGACTCGCGGTGATGGCAATGGTGATTCTGAATTTCCTCACCCAGCTACAATCTCGAGGGATATGCAAGGATTCATTGATATTCCTCTGAGAACTCCTGTTCACGGTAGGTCAGCAGTGGTAGATGCCTCTGTACCCGGATATAATGCGAGACCCACAATAACGGTACAGGGTTTAAATCGGGCCCGCGACGCGGAGGACTATTACCAAGAGCAGAAGCTGGGATTCGCGGGTCACCGGGAGTTGAGAAGGGACGGTGAAGGCCACTCGCGTAAAAGCAGCTACGGGGAGGTTGAATATGCTAATGATGTCAAGAAATAAATAAGTCTTGATTTTTCTTGATTGCTTTTCAGTTCTTACGAGTATGTGAAATAAATGCATTACAATGGGCGTTTCTCTTTGTCAAGAGTTGTTTTTTACTAGTTTCCAGAGTTCGTCTATAACATGCGTCTTGAGCCAGGCATCGCACCGTGCTATCTTTCCACCGCCTTTCTCTTTTCCTTTTCTCATATCATGTAATGGGTAGCATCTTACAGTGAATTCCCCTATATCCCCGTTTGCATTATCACACTGCTGTCAAGGCCTGTTTCCTCTCTGCAAATGTCTAAAAGCTGAATCTTGTCAACGTCATTGTTGTAAAACACTATGTATAAACATACGATCCCATGAATGTCCTAACGCCTACCCACCCTTTCTTTGTCCTTGCCTATGCATACATTTCCTACCCGTTAACCAAGTTTCCCTTCCTCCCGGCACCACGATCTGTATCTCTATCTTCGATTTCATTTTTTCTTATCACATGACTATAACGCGAATGTATTAAAGGGGAATGTATATTAAAGTTAACTGGATGGCTTATTCTGTCCGATGTAGAATAAAGAGAGTGTAATTGAAAACCCTAAAGAGGAGCTTTCCAATGTGATCTATGAGATGCCATTGAATTAATCTCCATTTTTTTTTTTGTTTAATTTCTTGTGCAGTAATGTTAATCTCATGACTGCATACTAAGATTAAGCAGAAAAGTTCTCTCCTGGTATTTGAGATTAATGAAAAATGAATAGTAAATGATGTAATGTAGAAGTACAGTTTGCTAATTGACAGAGACTTAAATCACGGTTGATAAAGAAGGTCTAGAGTGATGAATTTGATACAAAAATGCAGTTAACAAACATACATACCACTGTATAAAACCGAACAAGATACCAATGCTAAGAAGTTTGAGACACATTAGAAACCGAAAATAAAAGGGAGAGATTAGAATCTATTCATTGCCATCCGATAGATCCTTGGGTTCTTCCAGATCCAGAGGTCTTGAGGGCGATCCCTCTGCATACCGTGCTGACTTGAGCCGGCTGCGAGGACGCAACACTGGCGACCTCTACGCACTCGGCCTTGATCTGGTTGAACTCCCATTTGGTGACGCTGTCGTTGAATCCAAAGAACCCTGTCCAATCGAGGGATCAGATAGCGGTAGCATCGTCATTTCCGGCAAATGGCCTTCCGGAATGAAATTGCGACCTTTCCGAAACAAGCCAGAGACCTTCGCGTCATGCTCGAACCGATGGATTTCCTCCTCAGAGGCATCGCAATTTCTCCGTGGTGTCAGGTAGTCCATTTGAAATCCCTGAGAAGCATTGCCTGACACCGTAAAAGGGTTGTACTGACTTTCGTCACTGTTAGCCATGGTCGATGGTGTGGCCGATGCTGGCATGGGGTTTCGGAAGCCCATGCCATGTCGGAGGGTAGAGGCTTTGGGATCACTCGTTGTCGATGTTATCCACCATCTGGGAGACATTCGTGAGAGAAGTGACTTTAACGCTGGGGCGGCAGCGGCCCAAATTGCACAATTGGTTTCAACGTTGGATAATGTGTAATCGATGTTGTATTGGCGTTCTATGTAAGGCTTATGCCACCGTCGAGATGATACGATGAGACGCGCGATTGAAACACCCGTGACGCTATGGACAGAGAAGGAAAATTCAAGATGTTAGCCTGGTTTTACAGGTTGTTTGGTAGGAGCTATAGGGACCATTGGGCACATCCGTAAGGCCAACTAGAAAGTTTTCATAAGGCCGGATTAAGGACGGTAGGTAAGGACGTACAGAACTCCTATACTCATCACAAGCACAACTATTTCCTTTTGCCTCCTAGGCATATTTATTCCCCAAACGATAGCCGAAGGAATGTACAGAAGCCACACGTCTAAGAATATCGACAACGATGCAGTTGAGATAAAAAATCCTCTTCTATCGATGCATGTTCCCCCCTTGATCACCTTCCCATCCTTCATTCCATCCGTTCCTGCCCCGGCATCTATCTGGGCTTCACGGTCCATGTTCTGCCAATCCCAAATGTAGCGTACGGGGCTACATTGGAAGAGGTCGGCAAAGAATATAGCGGCCATTAGGCAAAAATTGACCACAAATAGGACACGAAGCGAGCGGATGACATGAGTACGAAGGCCGTTCAGACGGAGGATAAATATAATGATAGATCCTCTTACGAAAGCGAGGATGGGGTTATAAAGGAGCTGGTTTGCAAGGTTGAATTTCTCACCCACGATATCCAGCGTTGGTGTCTCTGATGGGAATGTTTCCAAGGGATATCCTTGGCGAGCATGTTTCGTATCTTACGGGAGTTAGAAGCCGACAGTTACCACTCGTTCCAGGGCCGTTCAAAAGAGTGAGGAAGCGGGAGAAGATCCAGACGCGAGCAAGACTTACAGCCCCAACTTGTCGCACACATCCCTATCGACATGACCTAAATTTTCGCAATCAGATTCCATGCAAGCTCACTTTGCTGCTGGGAAGGAGGGTTTTCCGTACCATCGCAATTATTATCAGTACATCATCTGTTGACGATACATATATTTAATCAGCATAAAACAGGGTCCAAATTTAGCGAGACGGGAAAATGCCAGTAGACTGCGATAACTACGTACCCCATCCCCAATTTTTCGACAAAGATCTAGAGACCATGCGCAGTGCTACCAGGGCAAGACTGATAGACGGGAAGACTGTGATGACCACCAGGGCCCGGACATGTTTTCCTGGCGGCATGTTTTCCCAATCAGCAGCATGTCAAGCCACCAAGTCCCAGAACCGGCCGCATATCAAAATCCCGGGCCGCTCGACGTTGACGACGCGACCCCGAAACAGGAGTTATATAGTAGTTATCGGGTCGTATCGGAGAATTGAAGTCGACGTATTGAAGACAGAAGCAAGCTTTTAAAAACGGAATCAAAAGTCCTCAAAGGAAATGTGTAGTTACAGTAACTACAGAGAAGACCAACATTTTTCTTTCGTCTTCGCTGCAAAATCTTCACTGGAAATGTTTGCGTCTTCCCAGCGTTAGTTCAACGACACGGGTAGTTATTAGGAAACTGAAAATTGAAACTTGCTTTTGAGGAGCCAACAGCCTGTTAAAATAGGTTGGCTTCCCGGGTCAGTCCGTACATTCCGCTGTGTCGAAATCATGAGTTTCCGAGGGACAATTTTGTTTTGCCTTCGCTCTCCATCAACTTAACAGTAATATGCCTAGGTAAAATACCGGTTGTTGGAGAGCATCACCACAATGAGACAACGTTGTTGTAGTTAGTTAAGCGAACAGGCAAAAATTGTATGATATCATCATCATCATCATCATATCACACTACCTAGGTAGTTAACTAATTAATTAGCTAAAAGCTACTTACACCAGGTTACATGTTAATAGGTTTTAATACTCTGACATTTAGTTACGACTCACAATGAACAGGTAATTACGTTCTTACATATTATGGAATTCTCTGATGCTATGTTGAAGATAGAATCCAACCTTTTTACATATTTTTCATTGGCTCAGATAGATGCAGAGTGTGGTTGCGTGACCTATCCGTTAAACTCTCCGCGTAGTTATCGGTAACTATAGTTATGTTAAATACCCTGTTTGGATTCGATTGACTACAATCACGAAACAATCTTGGATATCCTCTACTTACCTCGACTCTAGGCACCTGATAACCGTCGCGGATACGACATCTGCATGAGCTGCTGTTCTGCCGTGGATATCTAGACATTTGATAGGTGCATGTGGAGTTGGTTGGAGTGTGTCCCACGGTCCTCAAGGAAGTATGAGAAATTGCAATTGGAATGGGATTGGTTCTCAATAATCAGAAAGCAGCAGAAAGACGTTAAGATCGGGCAAACCTGTGGGTTGCGCGGATTGGGTGCACCAGCTAATCGTGCCACGACTACGGAGCATTTAACAGAATTCAACTGCGAATTCAGATAGCTCGTTTAACCAACTCATCATCTGATCAAAGGATTTATTTCACCATTGAAAACGAAAGAACATTTCTTATTTACACAGTTAATATCCTTGGCTAACATGGGGGGGGGGGGGGGGGGGGGGGGGGGTGTTGTATATCACCGAATTCACCAGAGTATGTAAACGCTGTAACTTCCAGTTGTTGCCTAAATAGCAACAAAAAACCCATCCCCCTTATCCTCCACCCGACTCCTCTCCACAATCGGATCGCAGCAGCTAATCCGAATGCGCTCCGGTGTCGCCGGGCTAACCAAGCTCAACACATGCTCAACCCCCCACTGCTTCCGTGCTGCCTTCAACGCATCGCGAATCGCAAAGAAGACAGCACTGCCCATGAACAAGGGCGGCTCGCCTACACCCCGGGATCGCTGAATCGTCCGCAGATTCTCCCACTGCACATCCTTAAGCAAACTCACGTTGAATACTTGAGGGATATCTCTGAAGCCGGGGATTTTATACGTGCCGGGCCCACGGGTGAAAAGCTGGCCAGAAGCACGGTGCCAGAGGCTTTCTTCGGTCGTGAATAGGCCCTGACCCTGGATAAAAGCGCCCTCGATCTGTCCGTAGTCGATAGCAGGATTTATACTCCGTCCCACGTCCATTTTGATATCTGCTCGAAGAGGTGTCCAGTCACCTGTCAACGTGTCAATGTGAACCTCCGCAGCGGTCACGCCCTGGGTGAAGTAGTAGAACATTAGGCCCTTGTTCTCGCCCCACTTGTACGCTATTTCAGGAGTCTTGTAGAACCCATTGGCAGACAGGTTTACACGGTCAAGGTATGCTGCATTCACAAGCTGTTTCATAGTTGCGTTGGGTATTTTCTCTCTGTAAGGCTGGAGGCGCTGGTTGAGCTGTTCACAAGCGTTGAAGACAGCATAGCCGTTGAGGTCAGAGCTTGCGGAGGCTGCTGTAGGGGAAGTGTTGGCCACGGCATTGGTAGCCGTTTCAGAGATGTGGACGTCGGATTGAGGGACTCCAAGTGCTTCTGCGGCAATCATGGTGATTTTGGTGTGGAGGCCTTGACCCATCTCGGTACCTCCATGTGCAACGAGGACACTTCCGTCATTGTACAGATGCACCAGAGCACCAGCTTGGTTCAGGAAGGCAGCTGTGAAAGAGATACCGAATTTGGTTGGCACGATTGCAAGTCCTCTTTTGGACCATTTGTGTGTCCGGTTATATTCCGTGATTGCAGCGCGCCGCGAATCATAGTCGGCCTCGACCATGACCTGTTGATACATGTGTGGTACATACCAATCGTTATCAAGTTCCTGATTGAAATGCGTTTTGTCACTACGCTTGTACATATTCATCTCTTGAAGCTTTTCTACCGGGATGTTTAAATGGTCTGCAATCTCTGACATATAGGTCTCCGCAAAAAACAGCCCCTGAGGGCCACCAAAACCCCGGAATGCAGTATTAGACACCGTATTTGTACGGCACACATGTCCACGAACATGAACATTTGGAATTCTGTAGACACCATCAATATGTGATAGGCATCGATCAACAACTGCAGCAGAAAGGTCCAGCGTGTGGCCTGCATTGGCATAAACATCAGCGTCCAGCGCCAATAATTTGCCTTCTTTCGACACGCCTACTTTCCAGTGGCAGAGGAACGGGTGTCGCTGGCCCGATGTGACAATATCCTCATCACGATTTAACATGCAACGGACAGGACGCTTAGTTTTTGAGGCAGCCACGGCACAAATAGCAGCTAATTGGATTGATCTGAATTCTTTCCCTCCGAACCCACCACCCAGTCGTTTCACTCTCGATACAATCTTGTTTGATGCAACGCCAGTGACTTTGGCAACATACTCTTGCCTAAGAAGTTGTGAGCTTAGTGACTCTTCGAAAATTGTCAGAAACACAACTGGAAAAGAACTTACGTCTCCTTAGGATTCTGTGTACTACTCCAAATCTCCATCTCACCATCCTCTGGCTTAGGGATAGCCACGCACGCCTGAGTTTCCAGATAGAAATGTTCTTGTCCACCTATTCTCGAAACCCCAGTGAAAACATGATCTGCTGCGGCGAACGCTGCCTCTGGATCCCCATTCTGAATATACGGCTTATGATGGTCGAAGAAGGACTTTGCTTCGATCGCTTCCTCAATGGTTAGAACGGCAGGTAACTCTTCGTACTCAATCCTGACAGCTCGCGAGCCAGCTTCGGCAATTCTGGCGGAACAAGCTAGAACCATACCAATGGGCTGACCTGCCGTGAAAACTTCATCAACTGCGAGAAATTGTTCGTCAGATCTATGGCCCCACCAATTGACTTCTGGGTTCGGTAGACACGTGTGATCGACGTATTCGACAACACCAGGTATATTTAAAGCAGGTTGGAAATCGACCCTGATTAATTTTGCCCGAGCCTTGGTGGAAAGGACAAGACATCCATATAGTTCATTGTGTTGTGGAGGTATGTCGTCCGTGTACTGTGCCAGGCCAGTAGTTTGCTTCAAAGCAGAGACATGTGGAACCTCCTTTCCAAGAATTTTCTTTTCATATGCCTCAGCAGCCGCATGGTCCTTCCGGCCTGAAGATATCTCTCTTTCGATTTCCGGAATTACTTCCTCGTCAACAGCAGCCCCTTTGAGATTGGAGAGGACATCATGATAGAAGCGGTAAAAAAACCCGAGTGCAAGAGTTTTGCGATAAGTTGGCATCCCTCCTGGAACTGATGATGGAAGAATGAAATCCCTTTCCAAAGCATCCATTGCACCCTCGAGGGTGGCTAGATCAGTCCAGTCTTTTCCCAGGAGATAAGCCTGAGTCTGCTTAGCAGGGGCTGTTGTCGGGGCCATCCCGCCATATACTAGATTCGCGCTTGTCACGGTTTTAGAATCTGAAAGTGACACCCGTAAAGTAGCATTAACAATGGCAATATCATCATCCTTCCTCTTTGATTGCTTGTATGCACGGAGATATTCCCCAGATTCCTGGCCCACGGGAATTCGCACCAACGCCACGACAGCATTGGGTGCCAAGGCTGTAGATCGATATCCCTTGAAGAACTCGCCCATGGGAATTTCTGTGTCTCCTTCCAGAGACTTTGCAACCAGGACCGTGTTGGTAGCAACAAACACTGGATTTAGGTCGGATATCGGTGAAGCAGTCACTATATTTCCCGCAGGCGACGCAACATTCCGAATCTGCCTTCCAGCAAAGTACCTGATTTGCTTCTTGATTGCGACAAACGCCTGACCCTTAATCGGACCATACCTCTTAACCGCTTCGTCGCATATAGTCTCCAAATCCGTCAAGGAAACATTTGCCCCCAATTCCAAGTAATCGTCCGTCATAGCGTACTGTTTCAACTCCGGGATATCTCCGACATATATTGAATCGACGTATTTCATAGCTTTGAACTTGGTCTCAATTTGCGTCTCGGTGCTGCCACCTATAATCTTGGCAGACGGACAAGCATCCTTAATTTCCAGCAATTGTTGCAGGGTAACAGGGCGATACCACCGTTTTTTCTTGTTTCCAAAGGTCAACGGTTTGAACTCAAATTTATGCAATGAAGGTGGGAAAATTAATTCACTACCAGGACTGTAGGGGATGAAATCTGGCGAATCGAACGTTCTCTCGGCGGTGGTTGTACCGTCCGCAACCATCCTATCTTTACAGTCACCTCCTGAAATTTTTTCCATGCAGCAGCCTGAACCGCCATTTGCGGTTGCTTTGCCACAAGAAAACGATTGCGCGACATCGAGGATAGAGCGGTATCCTGTGCAGCGGCAAAGGTTGCCATCGAATGCTTCTTCAATCGCAAACTCTGAAGGCACAGGGTCGTTACGGAGCAGTGCATATAGACTCTGGTTGTGCAATGCAAAATTAATTAGTAAAAGGCAATCGAAAAAGGGAAGGAGATGGGTGTCTCAAAGCCATAGTTTGCTCAATAAAAAGGCCAAAATCATACCATGACAATACCGGGAGTACAAAACCCACACTGGCTACCGTTTCCAACAGCCATTCTTTGCTGAACCGCATGCGGGCTTTTCACATCTCCTATACCCTCCACGGTGATGACATGTTTCCCATCCACGCTAACGAGCGGTGCGAGACAAGCATTGACAGATGCATGATATATCTGTTTCGTTGTCTGATTAAGTTGTGAAATAACCTGAAAATATCCCCTGTCAATACTAAAAGAAAAAGAAAAGAAGAAAAGGTACAGAGAACAGTCTGTATACACACCACTGTACAAGCACCACATCCCCCTTCAGCGCATCCCAGTTTCGTCCCCGTAAGTCCAACGCCCCTCAGATATTCCAACAGTGTAACCTCAGGATCGGGATTTTCCAGCACGACTTTGATTCCATTGAGGTAAAATCGGAGCGTATCGTCATAACTCTCAGTTACTGAAGCTAGCGAAGGAGTATGTCTCAGTTCTATTGAGGAGTCGGGCCGTTGGATGATCAAAGGAGACATCGCCTTTTCTGGTTACGAAAGATCTCCCGCAAAAGCTTATCTGTCTCTCAACGAAATCTGAGTGGACCATACAGATTCTATGACCATCAGCTGAGATGGGTGGATTTGTGATTACTCGCTCGGTCTTCTATCTGTTGGTTATAGCTCAAACTGCGGTGGAAGCTGGAGTAGCGACCGGGGGGTAAATAGCTAGAGAAGATGGAAGATAGGTCATTAAAATAAAGATGCTTTCCTTGGTGATAAAGGAGCAAACAGGAATATCTAAAGAGTACAAGAAAACCCATCTAGGACTGCGAATGGCGAAACCAGAGCATGAACGTGGAGGATGCATCTAGTTATCTCATTTTGTAACCTAGGTAGTCTTTTAACTGGCTGGTTAGCCGCGGACAATGTAGCCAACCATACGGTGTGGTTGATTCTAGCCATTTTGGAAGACTTCCAATGCGCTTGTTCCTCTGTCGTTGAATGCTGCGAGTGGAACGTATCCACTTCGCCGCCCGCATCCGAAAGACCAATCCTTGGAAGCCACAAGAAATTAGGTAAGCTGTGGGTTGATCCCCACATCACGTGCTTGACGCCCTGTCCAACCTGGTTGACGTCATCTCTTAGCAGTTGTTTACAGCGATGCATCCTCGGGGTTTGAGCTGCTAACATCATCAATTAATTCCCGTATCTAAATAATCCTTGTGATATGATACATAGCAGAAATGTAGACGCCCCAGCTGGGGTTCCAACACGACAGAAAAAGACAACATAAAAAGGTTAAAAGCAAGGCAGAGCAAGGACCAAGAAAATACGGTCCCAAGAGCGGACAATTCCGGCCGTCTATAAGCCCATATTGACTTTGGGGAAAACATTGTTCACTCCAAAATTAGCACTCCCATTTAGCTCAGAATTCCATATCAATCACATAAATAGAAACCATCAACGGACAATGAAACCAAAATATAAATACAGCATGAATTCAACATGATTGTCGTCGACCAAGGAACGGGCATTGCGTAGCTCTTGGGAAGCAAAGCTCTCTTTCTCATCTATGATCCGGCATATCCCTTCTCGTCTTGCTCCCATTTCTTCCTCTCGATGACACTTCTGGCTCTGCGAGACGCAAAAATATATTATTAGCAACAGAGACGGAGTTAAAAAGAAAAGAAAACAAAGAAAGAAAGAAAGAAAAGAAGGAAGAAAGAAGAAAGGGAAAAAAAAAAAAAAAGAAAAGGTCTCTTTGTAAAAAGGAACGAAGGGGGGCAAAAACAGCAAGATATACTTACCTATAAGCCCGTACAAACCGCCATACTTCCGTATCTGCAAGGTTCCAGGCTTCCGAGGCTTCTCTAATCTTCTTATCCTCTTTTTTCCCGCTCTCCAACGTCTGTCGAGCCTTCCCAATCAATTCAAATTCCGTCTTGATCTTCTCCTTGGCCCCACCGGGGAAGACACCCGTAAAAGTTGTCTGCGAGTCGCCTGCCTTCTCACGCGGGATACGGAAACCAAAGTGCCATTCCAAATCATCCACCGTTTCAGATGGCAGCGCACTCTTGGGGTTTGCTGGAAATGACTCCACGGTGAACCACAGGCTGTTAGACATTCCGAAATTCCCCGCAACAATGTTTTTGAAAACAACGACTCGTGAGGAGCCGTCAAGCCGTTCCCCAAGGAGGGACTTTGTAGCTTCCACTAGCCACCTGTCACGGTCGGTCTCGCGACGAATGTACGGAATCGTCACGTTGGCTGATTCACTCTGAATGCTAATCAGGGTATACGGATGAGGCAGGACACCGATGGTATAGATCGCAGAGTTATTGAAGTAACTGCTAGGCTGCAGTATCTTATATGCATATCTTGGAGTGCATGGTTTGCATGACGGATTATTTGGCGGACAAGACGTTTGGAGCATGGATGGTGCGCACTTCGCGAGCAAACCGGCCAGTGTGACTGCTGGGTTCACGAGGACCGTAGTGGCCTTCGGGAATGGCTTGGGGACTGATATTCCCGAGCTGAATGTATTTTGAAATGTGACTTGTAGGTGGAGGTTGATAAGATCGACTAATGCGAGTTTCCCAGCGGACGGGTTCTTGTCAATCTTCTCCGCTATGGGCGAATAGTGAGCAACAACGGTGGTGGGGTCATAATATGCAAAACTTGTCGACTTTTCAACCATGAAGAACTGATCCGGCACCACGTCAATCATATTCTTCGCGTCTTTCAAGTTGTCCCTATCGAGGGCAGATTTTATGGCAACATTTACATGACTCCGCTCACCCGAGAATAACCCCGTGCCCAAATTCTCGAATCGAGTAATAAATTCCGGGTCAGTTCCCCTGCGAAGAGAGACCAATGATTTATCCTCATAGTCGGTCATAGGGAAACACCTCCAATCGGCAAGGATGCCGGAATCAACACTTCCCCATGCGAGCCACCTCATCAAGTCCCCCTCAAGCTCCTTGTTCAACCCTTTCGCTTTGACCTCCTGATATATGTGATTGTTCATCGCCTCTGCAGGACCCAGAACCACCGGGCGGAAACCTTTGGCCCACCAGGCACGACGCCATGTCAGAAGTAGCTGCCTGTCAGCTTCAGCTTCGCCTTTCTGCTTCTTGCTCGCTGAATCATAGTAAGCAAATATCAATGTCCTCGGGGGCAATGGCGGGAGAACAGAGCGGTTTTCATCCAGGGTGATGCTAGAAGAAAATGGGTTCAGCCATCTCCAATCACTGTACCATTTTGTTTCCCCGCTAGTGCTATTCTTTTGCTCCGGAGGTTTGTGCACGGAATGAGGGAAGGGTATTCGGAAATTGATGTCTGGGAGGCCCAGAGGGGTTGGTAGTTTCGGGAGGTTGGGGAGATTGGGAAAATTGGGGAGGAGGTTGGGGAGGTTTGGTCTTGGGACGCTGTCGATATAGGAGCTTGCTTTATTTTTGTGCAATGAGGGCGATGTCGAGAGCGATGTTGAGGGCGTACTAGACAGGATTAAAAGGAAAATGGCAAAGAAAACAACCACAACGAAAAGCCTTGTGCTCCTATGAGAAATCATTGTCAACTAGAGCGGCTAGAGGAATCTCGAATAACAATGACGAGTGGGATCGGCCGGCGAATCTAAACGCCCATTTAAATAAGTCAACTCTGGCGAAGAGCAGCCATCCAATGATATAGAGCATTAGACAGAAAATCCTTCAACCCCTTTGACTCTCTCTCTCTCTCTCTCTCTCTCTCTCTCTCTCACACACACACACATTCCCTTCTTCTAATAAAATCCGCATTGTTTTTGTTTACATCTCCGCCGTGAAATACGTGTTTTGCTGGAGTTTCATGCCAAGGCAACGTGGTCAATTTCAGGTTTCAATAATCCACCTGACCAGCTCCGATTGGTCTCCATACTGTGTATCAATTTTTTTAAATCACTTTTTTATGCGCCCAATGAACAAAGTGCGGGCACGGGGATCCATCTATCTTACAAATACACATCGGTCACTTGGGGGATGTCGAAACAAGATTGGACGTGATTTTGCATTGTCCTTGAATTTTCCCTTCATCTCCATCCCATCCCATTGATTTTTATTCCAGGAAGCATCAAATAATCCAAGCAAACTCCTCGTTCATATATTCACATAACTAACCAATAGACATGGAAATGTAAAATGAGAATAAGAGAGATATCGACACCTAACCATGCCATCGCTGTGACGTCGCCCCATCTAATTCCGCCACAAACCCCTGATCATGCTGCGCCGGCATCTCAATCACATTGGTCCCGAAGTGGCTCAGTTCCACCGGTCGTTGGTCAAAATGAAGCTCCGCCCGTCCATAACCATTCAATTCCACCGCTTGATCTGTACTATACGCATCCTCCTTGTCATCGGCAGATGGCCTGTTGACAGGAGCCGTATCGTCGTCCTTGGTTAATGAGGGCTTCCGTTGGAACTTTCGATGTGCGACACAGAATCCTAATAGCACAATTAAGGTCACACCAGCCAGAATTCCAACAACAACGCCAGCCATCCACGCCTTGCTGCTAGGTCGCTCAGGGGATGGAGGATCTGGGCTGTCGGAATTTGTCACCTGTGGTAATCCGGCCGTGGGAGCGGGTGCTGTGTCAGTCGCGGTGGATCGGGTAGCTATATATGAACACCGCGGAACATGGAATGTCAGCTGCAACTCTCTGATCCGGGCTGACTCGGATATTATATAAGGATAGAGAGTTGCAAAAGTATGATTATGATATGTATGTACGTACAGAATGTTGATGCGGTAGTGTCTGGAAAGTTCCTATACACTGTCCACGGAGAGGCGTCTCCGAGCTGCCCGTACCTGCAGACTAGTTGCGTTCCTAGCAAATTTTCTGACGGCGCCCTTTCGTATAAGAGGACCGAAGCACATAAATTGTTCTTACTATGGCCGCAGAAGTACAATTAGAAACAAGATGCCGATAAAGCTTGTTAAGGAAACGGTCCTTCGTTTGTACAGCACGTACCAGGCCTGTTTCTTGCCGTCGGCGTAAAGAAGTGTGTTACCCGAACATGTTGTCGGGAGCGCGCAGGGTGCCTTCACAGACGTCGGACAGCAGGTGTAATAGCTCTCTGATTTCGTGACCGTTTCTCCAGAGCCACAGATGATCCTCACTACCTTCAAACGTTAAATCTTTTCTAGCTCATGTGGAATCCATTGGGAGGGCTGGAAACGCTGGGATGATAAACGTACACGCGGACTTGGTCCCAGACTGGGTGGTAATTTTCCATCCTAGATCACCAGACGCGAGAGGGCTCCTATCCTCATACTGAGCAAAGACAAGTCTGCCACAAAATAAATTTATCAACGTTGTCACCGTTCGCAGCGGGAGAACCGTCAACCTAACCATTCTCTCGAGCTACCTGGTGAATGGTACGGATGAATGATAAATCTCCGGCATGCTGAAGTTAAAAAAAAAAAAAAAAAAAAAAAACTGGCACAGAATGGATGGAATTGTTTGCCTATGAAAAGCAAGCGTAAAATTAAGAAGTTTCTGCGAATACGAGGTCGTGAATAACTACAGATTGACCAAATTTAGATCTGATCTCGCGCGATTAGTGTCTGCTCTGGCCGGTAGTTTTTATACAAAGTCTGTCTTCAGCCTTCAACCTCTCGGGATCCAGGGCCAGCTTGTAAAATTCAGCTTCGAAGGGCATTTGAATCTCTAAGAATCTCCGATTCTGAAAACTGGGTTTTCTGTGGATGGGAATTGCCGTCCCCACGAAACGCCCTCAAAAGGCTTCCATCAAAACCCAACAGTCGGAACCTATAGACACCTGTCAGCGGTGCTATTTAGGTTGATATTCTTGTATTACAGAGCCCAGTCTCTATCACGTTGGCCAGTTGGAGAGGAGCATGCTGCGAGGACAATGACGATCGAGTTATGTCGAAAATTGAAAAACGTACGTGCCTTCAGATCCTTCAACAACATTATAACGCCCCGAACCCCAACCAAAATTCAAGCTAGTCTATTGTTTAATCTATGTTTTACCACCCTCTCGATCTCAAGCAAAACCTCCTTTACTCCCCACTCCAACAATTCCGTCATACCAGCCCCTCCTTTCCCCGGCGCCACCAAAACGCCAACATCCTCCCTGACGTCCTCTCCCTCACCCACCGCAATCTTCAACTCCTCCAGGCTTCTCGAAACTTCGGGGTCAGGAAGCAACAACCATGCGTGATCAGAGATATAGCGTGGCCAAACGATATCATCGACGTAGCCAGGCGGATCAGTCCAGAAATTCCCAGGTGGAATGCTACCATCATCTTCTTCAAACGCATTAGTTTCATCATCTGCCCCGCCTCCACCGCCACCATCGACGTTTGACTCCTTAGATCCACTTGTATTCTGTGGATTCAATTCAGGTGTAGGCGCGGGGCCAATAGTGACGTATCCCGTTCTGCCTTCTCTCCGCTCTTTCATCACAGAATACTTCGCAGGCAGAAACAAGGGGACGTGTATATGATCATGAACAGCGCGAAGGGGGTGCTTATCGTCGTCTGGCGGCGCATAGAGAAGAAACCCTTCTAGAAAAGCAAGTGATAATGATAATGAATCACCACCCGATTCCTTAGACCCTTGCCTTATCCCTTTTGTATGCCCTTCTGATAGTATGTCCTCCAATTTCAGCGTAACATTCCCTCGAATACGGCGAATTGTGTCGTCATCAACCCCTGAATCTGTAACTGCATTCAGATCCTCCTTGCTTTTTAAGCGTGGTGGTAAAGTGCCATGCGTGTGCACATACGATAACGCAGACGAGAGCTGTCGCACGTCAAGAGCGCCAATTGTATCCCAATCCTGGACACGTTGTCCCGAGGCAGTGGTTGTCACCGGTATTCTAAGTAGAAAATAACATACGATTAGTCGACTGTCCCTTAGTTGATCGTAATTTGCCTCTTTATCTTTTAAAATATGAGAAGATGTCCTGGCTTCCAATCTGCGTGAACAGGGCAAGAAGCGGCGGACAGAAATTGGAATCTGAAAATAGAGCACCACGTACTGATCATCTGGCTTATAAAAGTCATCTTCATGGACAATGAACACACTCAGGTCTTTTTTGTCTCTGTCACTTCCTCCATTCGGCGCATTTTTTCCAATCGGGCCTGAACCTGCATATCCAGGACACGTCTCAGCCTTCTCTTCCGGTTTAAACACCGTCCGAAGCAGACGGGCAAGGGTTGTTTTCCCGCTTGAAGATGGCCCAGATATCCCTACAACAATTGTATTTCTTTTGACCTGTTCAGCTGGTGCAACTTTGTTTTCAGTGGTTGGTGAATCGGCCATCCTTATATCCTGAAAACTGTGGTTGGACTTTGCGGGGTAATTATATTTAACAATGCTAGAAAGAAGTGTTTCCGTTCACAAAGTTAAAAGATGAGGACTCTCAAACTATAGAAGCTGGGTTATAACTAGTTAATAGAAAGCCTTTCTTTTTTTTCTCTTTTTCCTTTGTATTAATCAAGGCTTTGGAGTAATAACTCTTTCATCTACGCGAGAGCTCTGAAATTGAAAAGATGGACATATGCAGTTCCACTCACATGGATCAAAATAAACGCTACAATATCAAAATACACGAAAATATTTAACTCCGACTCCAGCGACCCTGTAATTTATCCCCAGTTCTCCTATCCCCATATCCGACCTATTCATGCCTCTATCCATATCTTAAGTTCCAACGCCAACACAATAGACAAGATACAATAGCTGAACAAGACGCAATATGCTAATTCATGAACGGGTTCCCTGGGCTAAAAAAGCTAACTCCCAGAGTTGAAAGATTCTCGAAAATATTTGCAGATGAATCTTCCTCAGAAGGGACTTCCTCAAATGAGTCCTTTGACCCATCATACGATGCTGGAAAGAGCTGATTGTTCCTCGCCGAGGAGGCGTCCTCGTTGACAGGCAGTCGAACTCGAGAAGCAAGAACACGTCGTGAAGGTGGTGTTCTGGTTCGGGGAGCTTCCATTAGAATACCATTGACAGCCTCCAGATGTCCGTTTGAACGCTGCCGTTTACGAATGCTTGGCTTGGATCTCGATAGTCCCTGAACATCGGATTCTACCCAGGGTAGATCGTCCAAAGATTTGCGTTTTTTACTTGGAGTCACCGGTCTAAGAGGGGTAGGTGGGGAGAGAAGTGTTGGGAGGGAAGTAGACAAGCTATAGTCGACCTCCTTGTAATCGTCTGGAATGGGCAAGGTGTGTCGATCGAAGAAACCAACTGGCGTTTTCAAGTATGCCGGACCGGCAGAGGATTCGTTTTCAGAAATAGGAATGAACCCTTCATTTTGGATTATGTAACTCATGGTGTGGTCGTCCAGAGGATCTTTCTCCGCATGCCGCAACTCGGCATCCGACATCTGCTTTCTTCTCTGGAGCATTTTATCTTCCAGTGTATTCTTGAGTACAAGGGTCTCGACATAAACTGGCTTCCCTTGCGATATCCGATGAGCTCGTTTGATCGCTTGGCTTTCAACGTTAGGGTCCCAGATCGGATTCACAATGAAAACACGCGATGCACAAGGGATATCAAGACCATGTGAGGCTTGGCGAAGGTCCATAAGTAAGACCCGCACAAGTTCCGTTGTGTTAAACAACGCGAGATACGCTGACCGATCCGATGTTTTCAAGGTGTTTGAGTAAATTCGGAACTCGACCCCGAGAATTTCGAGTGCTTCTGCAATGTACCAACCACTATTACCACCTTCTTCGTAGAAAATAATAATCTTCTCCTTTTCCTGAAATTCAAGCACCTTGTCCAACAAATATGTGAGTTTTGCAGACGCGGTAGCAACAAGTTTGGTTTTGTTAAGTGGTGATTCAGGAGGAAGGCTCTTGAAACGCCCAAAAGATGTTTCCTTTTTTGAAAGTGAAGATTTTGCTCCTTCAGGCATTGGTCGGTGAACAAGATAATCACTGGACTTGTTATCTTCCGGAACCCCTCGCTCACGCATCTGACTTCGCAACTTAATTCCAGCACCAACGATGCCTTCAGCGGGGTCTAATGCCCAAAGATGTCTAGTAACGAACCTTTGCGCATGCCTCGCCTGGGTGATCCCAAGAAGAAGGGGTTCAACTGGCTCACTTAAGGGATCGATTGTCCATGCGTTTCGAGCGTAATCTGGAAAGTCTTGCAGAAACACACCCAGCTCGGCAAACTGACTAAACGCATTCCAGGAATTGCAGTTTATCGTCTTTTCGGCGATGGTAATTCCCTCGCACAACCGCCTTACATCATTTTCATCCATTCTGTGATAACTCCGCTCCAAGTACTCTCGGGCAACACTCAAGGCTTTTTGTATATCTTTCTTCTCATGGCCAGTCCACCAGAAACCAGAATGTCTCAGACTTCTAATGAGTATACTTAGATGCTTGCGGTTCTTTGGATGAAACATATAATCTTGATCGGTCCGCTCAGATGCAATGGCATTGACCGTCAGTACAAATATGAAAAGGTTCAGAGACATTTTGTCATAGAATGTCGGCTCCAAATAAACCACCTTGTTATGAAGCCCTGGTAAATCAAGCTCTCCGTTCACAAGTTCAGTTCGATGGCGTACCACAAGTGATTGGAGTGTTGACCGGAGAGACGGAGAAGCTCTGCGTTTTCCATCCGGCCCTAGAGGTTTGGTGTATTTAGTCCAGTTGGCGGGATCATCCATTTTTGAGTTCGCCCATGGCTTCAAAGCAAGGAATTCCACAACAATCAGCCGAAGCCTATCTATATTCTTCAATTCTTCCTCCATTACATTTGCTGTCTTTTTTCGAGCCTGCAAAACGGATGTGGTGGCATCATCTTTCTGGCCAAGCTGTTCGCCTGTTGTTTCCTGAGAAGCGAGCGCCACCTCAACGCCATATAGTCCACTTGATGGGGTACCAGAAACAACCCAGCGACGCTCAACGTGGAGTTGACCGAGTGTATGGACGGCGGTACTCTTTCCACCTTTAATGGCGAAGTTATGACCTTCATCAACTATGATTCTCAACCAGTGAAGACTTTTTAACGGCGATTCGTAGGGTAGTTTCGATGGAGATGTTTCCGTTCTTCCGCCGGCTTCCTTTTCAAAACGTGGTCTGGAAAAGAGGACAACATCATATTCAAGCAATTGATCGGGGGGAGGGGTTGCCCGACGGCTATCTCGAAGAACAAGCACTTTCAAGCCCTGGGTGTGCTTGTTGATCTCATTTAACCAGTGGTCAACCAAGTTAGATGGTACGACGACGAGGGTTCCGGAACATAACTGTAGCTTAGTAGCTGTCGCCTTGGGCGCGGATTCTCGACTTCTATTCCTCAAATGTGACCTGGTTATTTCGTAACTTCCACGGTTAGATTCACAAGCTGAGATGCATTTTTCAAAATGCATTCCCGAAGCCCCCAATCGCTCAAAATATGACTTCCAAGGGAGAGAAAAACGACCAGCGGTTGCAGCAGCCATTTCAAGCAACGACGCCGTTTGCTTACGGACAGGGTGAAGACCTTCCATGTGAGCAGAGGGAATGCGTGGGAAATGACCCCTAGTTGCAAGTATGACAGTTAAACAGATTAAGGTTTTGCCGGAGCCCATAGTTTCCGCCAGAATTCCTGTAGAGCTTTCATTAGTAAATATTCGAGAGACATTTCAAGAATGCGCTGAAATCCTTACCTCCACAAGCCTCAGCGTAGAGCCTCTTCTCTCGAAAAATGTTCCCTTCCTCTTTATCATAATAGAAGGGTTGTCCTGTCGGCCCGCGCATAGCCTGTAGGCGGGGGTCGAGACTCTTGGCTGGCTCTGACTCCCTCTGGATCATATATGCTGCCGAACGACGCTGATAAGCATACAAGCGAGTCTTGAGCCCGACAACTCCCATATCCTCATCGGACTCTCCGGGATAATCGCCCTGTGTCCAGAGCACCTCTTCGATAGCAGCTCTTGCATGAGGATCGGACACCTTTTCAACCTCGGGATTTGGAGATTCAAGCGTGTTAAAGATATAAAATAGTGATTCCTCTTCTGCAGAACCCACATTTTGCTGTGTATAAGGGTTGAATCTCCCATTCCATGCCTCCGAGGACGAATCCAGCTTCGACATCACGAGTTTAAAACATCGCCGCAATGCTCCGGACGATCGTTGAATATGTTTCCTCCCGATGTCATCCGGAAGAACATAGACGCGGACGGCGCTCCACGCAGGGAATTTGGCATTTGTACAGACAGATGTTTGAATCCAATTGTTTTGTTCCAATCGGCATACCTCACCGTACGGATACGCAGATGTCCAACCATGGTCTGCAGCACTTAATTTATGGTTATTGGCTGGCTCATATCGTTTTAGCACCCCTACTGGAATGAAATGACTCAAGTCCTCTAGAAAATCCTCTTTTTCCAAGACCAATTGATGGATTGGGTCATGTAGTAATGGTGCTGATGAAGATGAAGATGATGCCAATGACGATGTAACGGAGTGAGTTGAAGGAGACATCGGGTCACATTGACTGGACGAAGATGAAAGTTCTACTATTCCGTCATCCTCGGGTAGGGCACCCGCAATCACCTTTTGAAGCTGTAGACCCAGCGGGGAATCCTTTGAAATGTCATGCATCAGCATAGTTAAGAAGGGGTGTTGGAGAGCTGCAAGTTCATACCTGGGACCGGCCATTCAGGGGTAAAACCGGCTCCACGCCAGGGTAATCCATTCTTCACCGGTGATAATGGACTAACCCAACTTATAGTAAGATAGTGAAATGGATGATATTAAGGAATAAGGGTTCATGTATAGCCTTGTGGTGGTAAAAAGTGGCGTGAGCAACACACCACCGAGATGGCCCTGATGGCTATTTGCACTCTTCAATTGAAAGTGTGAAGGGGGATTTCCACACATACTATTTCATATTTCTCTAGTCTTAAGAGCGAACGAGTTTGCTCCACCTATCATAGCTATTGCAACCATGGAATACTCCTGATTCAACTGCGCCGGATGCGTTATATAACACAACTGAAAGGGTGAATATTCGGGCCTGTGATTGGACCATACGCTTACCGCCTTAGGCAGAATGTTTGCTCCATCCAACCAGGCTGAGTCAGCGGCAAACACCCAACTGATCTCTGTGTGGAGATTCTGAACAGACGATATCTACAAGGGATCAACTGGAAAAAAGAGAGAAATGAGATATTTTAGCTTAGAACAGTTTAAATGGATATATCTCTTATTGTTGTTTCTCTGATCTAAGCTATTTAGCGTAGCAATGCTAAAATATAAAACAATGCATAAAGTAACTACGGCCTCACCAACCGCTAAAATATGCAAGCAGAAAAAGGTATTGAATCGCATTAATCTATCAAGGCCACAGCCACGAGGGGTCGCAATACGCAAAGAAGGAGTAAGCAAAAAAAATATAAATAAAAGCAAACAAACGGATTTATCTAAACCTCATCTTGTAGGAACTTAATGTTTCATGACCTTTCCTCCCCTGTGTCACCCTCACAAGTCTGAGGTGTTGAAAGTCATGGAATATAAATTGAAGCACATCAAAAATTCCCCTTATTTTCTTTCCTTTAAGAAGAAAGTGAATCTCAGACCCTGGCGCAAGAAGTCAACCAAGAACCGAATCCCGTCAACTGAGAAAATAACGACATTTACTTCCTCAGAAACTCCTCAACTTCAAAACCCACCCTTCTAACCGCCTTCTCGTCAATCCCAGGTGGCGAATCTGCCAGACGCCTCACAACCAGTGCTCGTGCATCATCAAGGCGCATTTCAACGGCGCTGGCTCCAAATGTGTCCAGCTCTTCTTTCCCACAATCCCGTACATATACAGTCACATCGGGACCAGCGCAACCGCGCCAAAGTGACGCCACCCATTGCCAATGGTCGATTGGTGCGTAAGAGTCCTTGATGAGAATGGCGCAGGCGTGGATATCAGCATTGGTCAGCTGGTAGCGGGGTACAAGGGCAATACGAGATGGTAACTTCGATAACACAGGCGAAGCATTAGGTGTTGGTACTCTCTCTGCTGCTGGTGTTAATGCAGATGTGGGTGTGGGCGTGGGCGTGGGCGTGGGCGTGGGCGTGGGCGTGGGTGTTGGGGCAGCCGTCGCGCATGATGCTTCGGGAGAGTTGATGCTCAGTTGAGCGGTTTTCGGAACTATAGATCTAGGAGATATCTCAAAGTCCGGCTCCTCCTGTCCAATCGATTGCTGTGAAGTGGGTTCTGGACTCCCGTTGATAAATCCCATGATTTCATCGGATATTTTGTGCCAGGCAGATATCGTATCCAGATATCGGACCATCACATCACGCTTGTCCTCTGGCTTGTCACTGAATTCTGCTATGGCTGCTTCTGGCCCTTCAAATATACGAACAACATTTTTCCCTTCCTTCGATAAAACAGCCTGTAGATGATGTATCATGTACTTAACGGATTCTGGCTCCTGTCCTTCAACTGCGACCAATGTTCCGCGTCTGATGGAGCCACCGGTGGTGGGGTTTGACGTTGCCGGAGGAGAAATCAACGAAAGCAAATTAATCTTGTTGAGATACGGAATCTTCATCACCATTGCTTCTACGTTAGTTTGAATCTTCTGGGAAAGAGACATGGTCTGTAGTGGTGGAAGTGTCAGACTTGGATCGTGGGTAGCATGTTGTGTTGAGCCATGCCGGCAAGACCGACCAAGAGGAGTAACTCCCGCTGGGTAAGGACCTCTATGATACATTGTTTCCGGGCGAGGAAGTGATGTCTTTCGAGGTGAGTAAAGGTGTTCAGGGCCTACCTCATGACCAGAAGGAGCATATATACCGGTCCCGTTGAAACGACGGCGTTTAACATCAGGTGATAGAGGTAAAACCTCATCACGGAGTTGGTTACGGATAGCCACTCGATGATCGACGCTCCCAGCTACTTGAACAGGGTTTGGTAACCCGGTCTCGTCCCTAGAGCGTTGCCCCTGAAAGTTTCGGTGCAAAGGCTGTGTTTGCTGACATGAGGATGAGGTCGAAGTTACAGGACTCGGGGCAAATGGGGTAAAAGGTGTACTTGGGGTGGATGGTGGATTCATGACTCTCCCGCCACATCTACCGCATACAGAAGCACCAGTTTGATTGTTGCTTATTCCTGAACTGGCCACCGCACTATTTGTGCCATTCCTCCCGTACCGGCGAGGTTGATATCGGTAATCAGGGTACTGCTGCTGGTGTCGTGCTTTTTCTTCCTATGTCTACTGTCAAAACCGTCACCTCTCCTTTTTACTCTCTCTCTCTCTCTCTCTCTCTCTCATATTTTTTTTTTGTGGGAAAGTTTGGCGGAAATGCCAATAAAATAAGACAATATAATCTCTTACCTCAGCAAGATCCTTCCAATCTTGTTTCGATTCTGCGGAGAGAGATCTCCACTTCTCACCGATAATCTTCGATATTTCGGGATTTGCAAGTCCAGGATGTTGAGCAACGACAGAGGACTGGAAATGTTGGCGGAAGAGAATGAAGGCTAGAAAACAGGGGTGTGTGCAACAATTAACACACTGCTTGACTTAAAACCGCCAACACCATTGAACCATAGGCGTATGGATTGAAGGTAAACAGAGATGACAAAGAAATATGACAAACAGACCATTTCTTGGGCGAGGAATTTTAGGATCTGGTTGACATAGGCAGAATTGTATACTAGATGATTCTTTGGATGATGTAGATTTTGAGGAGCTGGAGGATGTGGACCGCTCCTGTCTGACAATCTCGGACGTGATCAATGAACAAGTTCTCTTCCGAGCAATTGGTGAGACCAGAACTGGCAGCACTTCAGCCAGACACAAATTTTCCGGGCTTGGAATTGTATTTCTTGATAAAGCGCTTGTGAGAACTCTACTATCCAGGCCAACTGATGGGAGGCTACTTTCTTCGGCCGCAAAGTTGGAAAACTTGTCGGTCATAATTTGGTGATCCACAGGAGTACTGGTCCGGGTAGGGAGATCACATCCAGTGGGGTCATAATGCAGAGCGAGGGGTTTTGGAAGAACTCGATCCCAAGACATGAATGTATGAGCGTAAATCACAGAGAGGAAACGAGAGAAAGGGAAAGTTTAGAGAAAACGAAAATAAAGGGCGAAAGAAGACGATAGACAAGGAGTGAAGAGGAGAGACAGATATCAAGATATCGAAGCAGCAGAAGTCAAGAAGAAGAAGAAGAAGAAGAAGAGAATACTAAAACGAAACTCGAACTTTTGTATAGGCGATTGCCTTTGTAGAGAAAACAAGCATGAACGTGGCGAATAGGGGCGCTTCATGAGCGTCAAGTCCTTTGTTCTTGAAATACCCACGTTCGATTTATATAAGAGTCTCGCTCCTCTTTGTTTTCGGTTTGTGCAACCCACATATTTGCAAACAATTGTTGTCGGATATGCTGTAGCCTCTCGAGGATAGACCGTGGTTGTAAGTGCTGTCCATAAACCTAAACTATTGTTTTGGTTCCTTTGTCCGCTGGTTAACAGATGAAAGCGGACTAGATGCACATGTCCTTTGAGCTGAGACATCCAATTAAGCCATGCCTGCAACAAGGCGATGAGGAATGATGATTCCAACGGAGATGAATTGCAAACGCCCATTGGTTACGGCTGCATTTTGACTCCAGAGAGTCCAGCAACACGGAGCGACTGGAATATCTTAAGACAGTCGTACAAATGAGAGCTAATGCGCGTCATTTTCGTGGGCCTTTTATCGTCCAACAGCTTGGGACTCCAGAAAGCAGATAAATACATGTTGGAGCCCATAGAAGGGTTATCTTGTGCTCATAATTGCCGATTTCATGTCGTGATTAATTTGTTCTGCTCTCAAATCTCGACACGCTCTCTCAAGAGACGCCGACGAGAGCAGGCGAAGAAAATCCCAAACCCCCGTACTTTGATCATCATACCGCTAAATAAGACATGCGGTGACGGATCCTAGAACATTTCCAACTCCGATTGGGGAGCGGCTAATGAATGGGCCCGCTTTTCAGTCGTTTGCGGATGGAGCAAGGGTTCCGTGAGCGGTTGACGACTCACTCCTGACCCCTGGGTCGGTAAATAACTAACTTCCCTAGTCAAGTTATCCTGGCTAATACTAATTGCGGTGTTGGTTCTAGAGAGTCATGAGCAGCGTCTTCCTGGCTCAGCCATGTGCGATGAACACCGTCGAATTCTTCCTGGCCTAAAAATCTGGTGGGCTTTGCGCCAAGATGCATATTATCCCTGCCAAATACCCGAGGAATGAAATCATCAGCAATGCCAGGAATGCCAACAAAATTATTTGCATTCTTACCAGAAGAGAAATTTTCCGGAACGGAACATGAAATTTCCTCCCTCCAGAATAACCACTTTCTTCGTCTAACTATGCAGGCCTGTTGACGTTTTCCCAACTCACGTTATCCTTATCAAAATCTTGGGCCTCGATTTGTCCTGTAATCTGTAGTTGTCCTTGGAGAACCTGATCAATCATGAAGGACTTTACATCAACAAGGATTATCCTCCCACTCATCCATTTCTTTGAGCCCATTTCCAACGCATGATTCCACACATTAAACATTAAGGTGGGCGGCCAGTTTGAGGGCTTTGCTATCAAAATTGAACGCTGGAAGAAATGTTACATCTGTCGCTGACAAAAGAATCATTTTCATATCACTTTCAATCCATTCATCGCCTATGATTGAGAGTCTGTTGGAAATGGATGCCACGCTTCGCAGAACTGATTTCTCAGAAGCTTCCATGTTTCGTCTGAACTGCCGCCAAATGTCCCAGATAGTAAACGATACGATGTAAATGGTGTATTTCTGCCGCATCTTAATCTGCTCTGCTGTTAATGTCCTGGTGGTTTCTTTCTCCTTCATTATCCAACGATGAATTTGGGTCTTCAGGTCCGCAACCGGCGATCCAGCCCACTGAATGTTTAAAATCCTTTGAAGTTTGTCATTGTCAGCAATTGCACCTGCATAGGACGAGGATTCTGCTATATTTTCGAGAAGACAACCGAGCTGAAGTAAGAACATAGCACCCATTTAGTTGGCTACGGATGCATCGGGGAAAATTAACAACAATAATTCGTGGAGAATATGAAGCTGAATCTCTACCTGAGAACAAAGCCATTCCGTCCAGACTATTCCCTGGCGCAGATCCACTATCTGCCTATTATCACTCCACGAGTCACCAAAGACAACCAACCTGTAAGCGTATCCGTTCGGATTAGGGCCCTCCAGGGGAGGGAGACTTGGCTGGTGGAAATACAGTTGCCGCAACCAGTATAGGACGCTGCAAGCTGTTAGAAGGCCCAAAGCACATAATCTTCTTTTCAAGCGCATGTTTATCCAGAAGGGAATTTATGAAAATTGATACTACAGAAACAACTCGGAATTCTATCTCAATGAGATCTCAGGGAATTAAGGTGGATAGCACTGATAGATAAGCGGGGAGACAAATGAAATAGTAAAAAGATGTTTTGTCAAAAGTTTGGAACCATCCTGAGACAAAAGAAAAAGAGCGAATGAATCTGCCGCATAAACTGGAGAAGGCATAACTCAGGTAGTTAACTGATAAACAGAGCAACCGAGCATCACGGAGAGGATGAAGGAAACAGCAGCTTGTCCTCATAACTAGTACCCTGCTCCTCTGTTGCAGCTTCGTCGCTCATATGAGCCACGGATATAGAGCGGCTACATCAGACACGCGTGTCATCGCACACGACCGGATACTGTATAAAAGACCGCTTGCGTGGGTCAGAGGCTTGTTTTATAAGCTCCTGGTCTGAGGGCGAATGACATTCTAATACCAGAGAAACTGCAGATTATGTGTCAGCGTCGTTTTCCATATTCAGTTATCATGCAAATTTTGAGTTAATGTCCGATGCACTTTGGATATTGGAGGTAATGTCATTTGTCCAACTAACCAGAGAAGTTGAAAGGACAGACAGATCTCTCGTCTCAGGTAGTGGCAGCCACTTGGCGGCCAGTGACAGGTTCGCGAAGAAACCTTGGAAGTCTGCAGCGCTGGAGCTTGACAATTACTCCACGTACTTGTATTTGGCTGACGGTTCTTTATTCGCAGAAGTTATCTGTGGTTCGTGGACATAATACTTGGTGGTTGAATATGAAGAGTATGCCTAGAAGACACTAGACCCTCCCTTCGAAGACCCTAAGGGATAACCCTGGAATAACCCTAACCCAGGGCTGGAACCACTAAAAACCACAAGGTTAGCGCTTCTCGGTTGAGGCCCGGGATCTACAATTCGCGGTAAGGACTAGGCTAATTAGGGCGCTTCCAGGGCTGCCGGTCTTGATAATAACGTGAAAGCTTCATAACCTCCTCCCTTCTCATTTTCCTCAGTTCCACCAACAGCCCTGGAACTTTCACAGCTTGGCTGTAATACTTTCATGGGCAGATAGGATGATCACCATCTTTTCGTGTTCACCTCAAACCAATATTCTCCGATTCTTCAGCATGGTCTTCAACAGCGCTCAAAAGCCCGTGAACTGCGAATCTAGATAAATGAATTCTTAACCCGTGAAAATACTATCCAACCTACAGGCGCAGCTCTCGATAGCATATTGATCATAGATAGATACCCTATCACTTACAATACGGGGGATCAAGAGTATTATCTCGGAGCATTTTCGTCGCGTGGAAACGAAATAGGGTACTGTACGTGCTGGGCAGATGACATACAGTCCCACATAACCTCTGTGACCTTCCGGAGCGTCTATTAGTGGCCTATTTTGCGTCGTTGAGACAACACATCTAAGACCATATTAACCAAGATGATTTTACCTTGTTCCCCCGGTGTATTTTTGAAATGGATCAGCCTCATCTTCCAGGGAACCTCTCCACGAAAATTTTCCACTACATGCCTCGCAAGAATATGCTCCCCCAACATCCAGTTGGATAAATTACTTCTTCGTTTGCTGCCAGCGTCCATATATACAAAATTGCGACCACTAGCGACGTTCATATGCGATGATTCTTCCAGCATCCTAGATGAAAGCCGGCTGACTTACGGTTCCTGAATATCTCGGGTCTACCATAGACCAGAAACCAGCTAATGGCCCAGGGGAGTTGGATTTTGTAATTGCGCACTATTAACCATACCAATGCTTCAGGGTATCGCAAAAAAAGAAAAAAACCTTTGTGCCTTCTCCGCACGGCGCTATCAACTCATCATGCTAATTAACAGACAGAATATCAAGGGACTATCCAGCTGATTATACGTAAGTTGCTTGATATTAAACATTTGTGCCAACAATTCCCCTTTTCCTGCAGCTACTTTTATTTTTCCAATCTTTCAGCGCTAAAAATTCTCGCAAGGGTGCCGTAGTTATGTGGAGGCATCACATTGCCTCGATGCGTGGATTGTCAGAATTCCAATTTTTCATAATACCCGCTTTCTGCATTGATCTGAGCTATCATCGTCCGATCATACGTGCTGAGAAGAATTGAAATCCGAGTTAACTTGGCGAGGCCAACTACAATTTATAAATCCAATTGGCAAGCTCACAACCTCCCTCGCGTCACCGCATTATTCTCCCCTTTGCTCTGGTTCAGTAGTCATATATTTGGTTGGCTCAGAAAACTGCTCGCCCGATTAGGTATCCATCAATATGCAGCATTCACACACATTTCCCTCCTCAAACTGGGCTTCAAATGCCACTACCCCGAACACCTGAAATATCAATGATCTAGTTAATCGTTCACTTCCCCATTTTCGACCCTTTTTCTTTTACCCTGGGGTTGCTGGAAGGAACCAGAGTTTTACAAAGTAAATTGAGAGGATCTTCCTAGTCGACACAATTGAAAACTGCTCTACTAATCTCAACACTTCTCGGAAGCTTTTTATATTAGAAAGATCCAATTGAAAAATAAAGTCTCCATACTAGAGCAGGCAGGACTTCTTTATTGTCAGATGCACGCTAGTCCAATTTTGGAATCAACGAATAGTCTTGGCGGGTAGGGCTGCTTATATAATCCAACGGACCCGTTGCGGTTAAGCGTCGCTTAGTCATTCACCCACAGAGCAAACTCGCTACGGCAGAAAATCCACGAAAAAAGATTCGATATACTGAACGCTTGACGACGACGACGACCTCCTCAACCTCCCGACCGACAACTTTTGCGCCTCCCGTCTTGACCGCGGAACCTTCGTCAAGATGAAACTCAACATATCCTACCCGGCCAATGGGTCACAGAAACTGATCGAGATTGACGATGAACGCAAGCTCCGGCCGTTCATGGAGAAGCGCATGGGAACCGAAGTCAGCAATCCCCATCCATCCTCCGTCATCCTTACTCCCTTCTCTGGCTCCTGCAGGTGGAATATTGCTTTTAGGATCTTTCAAATTGGAAGGGGATTTGTTTTGGGTTGAACGTGTTTGCTGATTCTTAGTTGCTGTGTCACGTTTATAGGTACCTGGCGATTCTCTGGGAGATGAATTCAAGGGATACCTGTTCAAGATCACTGGTGGAAACGACAAGCAAGGTATAGAGAGGCTAGACACACTCTGGCAACATTTGTGAGCGTTATATCTATAAGGAACTGTTTACTGACGTGGATTGAAATTGGCAGGTTTCCCCATGAAACAGGGTGGTATGTTTATATCGGTCCCGAATGGATATCCGGAAGACTCTGATAAAGATAGAGGCTGATAACGTTCTTCAATACAGTCCTGGTCCCAACTCGTGTCAGACTGCTCCTCAGTGATGGTCACAGGTAATTTACAGCAGCATTGATCCAGGAGGTAGAGGGTTTAAAAAGGTTATTTGGCGCTAATTTCCATTAATAGCTGCTACCGCCCCCGCCGAACAGGAGAGAGAAAGCGCAAGAGCGTTCGTGGAGGTACTTATTCTATTAATTCTCCGCGTCCCTTTGTTTGGCAAAGAAATCGATAATCAGTTCTAACGCAAAAATAAACGATTGAAGCTATCACCAACTTCGATCTCAGCGTCCTCGCCCTCAGTATCATCAAGCAGGGTGAAGGAGAAATCCCCGGCCTCACAGATGTTGTCAACCCCAAGCGACTCGGCCCCAAGCGCGCCACCAAGATCCGCAAGTTCTTCGGTCTGGACCCGAAGGATGATGTGAGAAAATTTGTCATCCGCCGTACTGTTACGGGCAAAAATGGAAAGGAATACACCAAGGCCCCCAAAATCCAACGTCTCGTTACCCCCCAGCGCCTCCAACGCAAACGCCAGCGGATCGCTCTCAAGCGCCGTCGGGCTGAGTCTGCCAAGGAGCAAGCGTAAGCTGAGACCTATTGCCCGTTTCTCTTGCATTTCGAGCTGCCGCGTGACTGGCTGCCGAAATAACTTTTGATATTTAGAGGTGTACTAATATTTGACTTTGTCGTGATCTAGTAACGAGTATGCCAAGCTGTTGGCCGCCCGTGTGCACGAGGAGAAGGCCAAGCGTACCGAACTCCGAAAGCGGAGAGCTTCGTCGATACGGAAGTAATGGTGATACAGAGGGGGAGGAGAGAAGGTGTCTTGGCGGGAATTCCAAGGGCAGATGGGAGTTGGTGTCTTTTTTCCATGTGTTTGAACTCGATAGACGACAACCCAATATTCGAGGGATGATACTCGATGAGACGGTGAATCAATCAAATACACAAATGAATGTTCTTTTTTTGCGGAAAGCATGTTACAGTATTTCAATCTTCTCTTTACTCTATTGTATCCGTCGTCGCAAATATTCCAAAATCCAAAATTTCTTTTCCAGGTTTCCTCTTATTTCTTGATATTGACATCACAAGGCTTGATCTATTCATCCGGTTCTCTGAAACGAACCCCTCAGCAATCGGTCTCTAGAAAGAGCGTCCCAAACGAGATGACTGAGATAGGATCCTGCTTCTTGGTTATAGGAACCACTTCTTATCAAGGCGATAAAGACGTTCGCAACGAGATAATGACCATTTTCTACCAGCTGTCAGCGAGAATGAAAGTGAAAATGAGAGAGTGGACCTGACGCATGATAACCATCCGATATTCCAAAAGCCGCGCTCATGGATTCTGAACACAT